CTCCTCGCGGCTCCTCGCGGCTCCTCGGCGCTCCTCGCGGCTCCTCGGCGCTCCTCGCGGCTCCTCGGCGCTCCTCGCGGCTCCTCGGCGCTCCTCGCGCCTCCTCGGCGCTCCTCGCGGCTCCACCGCTCCCCGGTTTTTACCGACCCCGACAGCGTGCGCAATGCGTCCTTACGTCCAGTGTCAACGGCTGAACGCGGAACCCTGAAGGCACCAACCAACGCATACTTCAAATAGCTGTTGCCTGACACGCAAGTTTCATCACGCCCACGTTCATCTGGTGGCACTGGTCCAAACAGGTCTGCAGATAATGCGTAGCTTTGCGGGTACTTAATTTTCCTATGCTGTACCCCCAAGCCTGCTCCCTCTATGCACCTGCGGCAGTCCTTTCTGTATGGCACATGACCATGAAGCACGTGCTGTCGCCAGTCCTCAAGACTGGGTTCTTGCGCCTTGCTTATGCAAAAATCTAGTTCTTTGTCACGGCGCTCTAGGGCGAGTGTCTCCTGGCCCTTTGTGATAACCTTATCAAGGTCGCTGCAAGCCGGACCGGAAGGCTGTCCTGACAGCGCCCGCACAACCTCCTTTCGAAAGGCATGGGTCCACTCCCGACCCTTTGGTGGGGCCTCAGCTTTGCCCTTAGTCGGCAGGGTACTTACAAATTCAAAGTCCAAATTCGTCTGCACGGAAGTAGGCCTAGTGAACTCATCACCCAATGCCCCTTGGCTCAAGCAGAACTGTTTAGTCCCTGACCACTGCTCAAACCCCTCCCGAATACTAGCTGGAACCCCGGATTGCTCAGCGAGGTAAGGGATCCCCTTTCCCCTCATAACTGACGCAAAGGACCACAGTACCATAGCTTGCAAAGGTAGTCTGGCCGGTTCTCCTGGCTGGTATCTTGGTGGGGAGGAGAGAACTGTGGCTATCTTCCCCTTAGATGCGGCCCAAAGCAGTACCTGCCACACACCTTGCTGCTGGGCTAGGTCCCAACCCTTTCCACCCTTCTCAAGAACATCAACATGGAGAAGCAGCATGCCTCTCTGATCACACCATTCACGTATTGGATCATGGGCCCAGGGCCTTCCAGAGCACAGGTGTACTACCCAACGATCAGAGTTCAGAAGTAGCTTCCTCGAGGAGCGCCTGAGGGGAAGTGCCTTCAAGACACTCTTTCCATGAGCCTGGTCCTCCCCGGTGGGAATAGATTCGGCAAGCGCTGCTCTTTGCTCCTCGGGAACACCTTGTAGATACGGTTGGGCGAACAGAGCACACAATGCATCCCGGCGTGTCCCAGTCTGGGCAAACTTCCTCCAGGCTTCCGAGGGATCAGCCAGGTCTCGCTGGGCCTCAAGCTGGCACTCAAAGGTCTGCAGCTGGTGCCTAAATTCACTCAACCGGGTCGCCTCGAGCTCAGCTATAAGCTGTAGGGCTTGTTGCTCCTGTATGTAAGGGCACGTATTCCCAGACACCCCTGTATGAAGGGTGCCTAGTGTGGGGTGCTTTACTCTTAGCCCTCGGCGCTTACTCCATTCCACACTGCAACCTAAGCATTCTACGAGTGCCCCTAACGGGAGTATGGTCTGGACCGAACCCCTTTCATGCTCCGGCGTAGCTGCTGGTGGTACTACTAAGGTTCCACCTTGCGTCCGCAGCCACTCCTGCTTTGCGTCCCCGGCTAATGTTACCGGCACCTTCTCTAAGCCCGTCATGCTTGGCTCAAATGCCACTACGGGGTGCGTGGCACCACTATCCAGCAACGCTACAGGGGCTGTTCCAGGAGCATGCGAACAAAGCCTCGCCTCATACTCCTGCACTACAGCCTTCAGTTCATACTGCCGACCAACTAGGTCGCTCATAGTGCATGCTTCACGCCCTAACCCTTCAACCGAAATCATTCTAATTTCTGGATTGCTTGCCATGGCCCTGAGCGACTCCAACTGAGCGCTGAGAGAGGCCAAAGTCACTGGCGTTCCTTGCACAGTTGGTGCTGCCTTAGCTGGTGGCTGAGGTGGGCCCGGGATAGGGGCTGCAGGACCGGTTTCTCCAACCGCAGGTTCAGGGATCGCCTGCTGAAGAAACCGTGCAGCATCAGCTAGCATGCTCTTGATTTGCTGGCTGCCAACCTCTGGAGTGGCCCCTCCTGTTGTGCCACCGGCTGCAGACTCGGTGCCGGCCTTCGGCGGCTTGGGGGTTCGACCCTTGGCCTTGTCTTCAACTCTCAACCCAGCCTTACAATCAGCAGCGCGATGCGTTTTGCTGCCACAGTTCTTGCATCTCAAGGCCTTCTCGGCTGCACTAAAGCTGGCCCAATTATGCTCATATGCACAATCTTGCCCCTTTTTGCATCCGTTACTACCAACGTAGAAGGTGCAAGGTGGCTTGGCGTTAGCTCCACCATCAGGTGCAGCTGAGACCTTCGGTGGAGGCGGGGCTTTCGGCGGGCTCTTAGAGGCCTTAGGGTTCTTAGGGATCGCTTGCGGCTGTGCTTGCGCCTCGACACCTTTAACCTTCACAGGCACCTGAGAGATTGTTTCCTTCTCCGCCGCCCTTGTCTTCTCCCCCCGATGGGCTATAGCCTCTAACTCAGCAAGGATCTGGGCATGCAATTTCATCACCTTCGCATTGTCAGGCGTAACATCTATCTGAAGGGAGGCCCTTATCAGGTTAACCCTAAATGCGATCTCGGGGTTCTGAGCAAGCACAACCTTCGTGGCCTTAGTCAGGGCTCGCACTTGGATCGAGGGATCTGGTAGAACCCCTCCTAGCTCTGTCATGCGGGAGCACCAGCGCTTCCAGCGCCGGAGGGTTTCAATTACTTCTGACACCGACGATCCAACTGGAGGCTCGGAAATATTCTTTAGACCTAGTTCCCTTTCCATTAGGGTACCCGGCCCGTAAATAATGAAAAGCCTCGAGAGAAGTGGGAGTAACCCTGAGGTCCTCGATGCGCTCAGCTCGTCCCTGACATCCTTGGGTGCCGCCGCAATGATCATAGTCTCGATCCTTCGCGACACGCGGACCCACTTGGTCTGGGCTAGGTCCGAGGACGGCTCGGGTTTAGCCGTGAGACGAGCCAGGGGATCCATTCTCAAGTACTCATTGTACCAAGCGGTGGCCTCGTCTACTGTTCGTTGCCACAACTCCTCCGACGTGTCTGACACGTCTGCTAGTGCTGGTCTACTGGCGTGGAGCCAGTCTGCAAACGCTAGCGAGGACTCCGGCCCATGCCCAGGGAGGTCTGGTAAAGCTGTCACTCCAGGCTTTATTACCTCTGGCTTATAACTCGCCTTCGGGCTAGTAAGCTCAGTGACTACTGACTGTAGCTGGGCCATACCTGTCAGCACCACGCTAAGGGGATCCAAACCCTGAGCCTCACCCTCAACCGGATCGGCAGCCTCTTCGAGTCGTTCCTCAGGAGGCATAGCAGTCGGTGGGGTTGGGTAGGCCTTAGGGTAGGGTCCTTCAGGTCTACTTGGGAATACTAAGTCAGTCCTAGTGGTCCCATACACTCCTTGCGTCCCAGCCCTTTGCTCTCCTGCCCCAGAGCCTCCAACCGGAGGCGGCGGTTGCGGTACTGCAGTTAGCGCTGGCGCTGCTGTCACAGGGCCCTGGTTATTGCCTAAGGTGGGGCCTAAACCATACTGGTTCGGAGTTACAGTGGGTCCTTCAGGGATCGCTTGATGCCACTGCACAGGGTGCTCAGGGAGTCCTGGTGTTAGGCGTAGCTGGGGCTCGTATGCCGGAAAGTCCACGGCCGAGGTGGCAGGAGCCTGCTGCCCTGGAAGGGGCGGTTCGGCCAAATCCAAGCCTCGCTGAGGTCTAGGTTGGCCCATCAGAGTTCCTAACCCCCTTCCAATCCAACCCAAGCTCGGAAACCCAATCTTAGGAACTTGACCCGGCCTTGAGTTCTGCATCTCCATCTGTACAGTCGACTCAGCTCGAAGCCTCAGGCTCCTATTCTCCATGGACAACGCTTCTACCTGAGCCCTAAGTCTACGACTCTCCTCATCACGAGTTGCCATCATCTCCATCAACTGTCTCCTCACCTCCGCCTGAACATCGCTGGACGACGTGGATGGCGGCCTTGGCGGAGAGGGCGTCCTCGTGGTTTCACTCGGGTAGAAAAGCGGTGCGCTCTCATGTAATCGCTGCATCCTCTCCAGAGTCCGTGGCTCGAACAGCGGCGCAGCAGTCCCTACAGGTACCCCAGGAGGGGGAAGTGGCCCGTCCGTTGCGGACCGCACAGAGGCGTACTCCACGCTATCGTGCAGTCCAGGAACACCAGGGATCCTTCCTCCACCTGACCTTGCCACCAGATTCTCCACAGCAGCTGGCAGAGTCTGCACTGCCCTAAACATACCAGACAACACACTGGATCCTCCCGTAGTCTGCCCTTGCTCCCCTGGCCTTGGCTCGATCGGTCTCACACCTACATCCGAGGACATAGGCGGTCGACCAAGGGAGCCAGCCTTCGATCCCACATCAGCTCCTGCAGCCACAGCCTGTTCACCAGGCGTGGTAGTCGGCTGCTCGGTCCTTGCTGATGCCGAGGGTCCAGAAGTAGCAAACACAGGCTCGGCAGTACGAGCTGTCGTTCCTGGTTGCAGCGTCTCGCCGTCCATATCTTGGTCACCTGCAAGAGGTAGATGGTTCCCGTTCAACACGGGCTGCCGGTCATTCTCATCTCCTCTTCTCGCAGTAGCCGCTCTTGGGCTCATAACCTGTTGATCATGGGGAACGTCGCCTTCATTTGGGTTGAGGGTCTGGCTCGACTCGGCAGTGGCCATGCTAATCTTCAATGTATCGTTCCAGAATCACCAGAGACAACACACATCGGACATGGCGCTCACTTGCTAAGTTCCTTTTCTGCTCAGACACAACATGTAAGCTGTCCTCTAGACTAGCTGCTATGCGGCTGTGTCTTATCTGTCTAAACTCATGCACAATTGCTGTTCACATGGAGCTCTGCTCCTCTTCAGCCTCAGTGGCTTGCGAAGACGACTCAGCGGCCGCACTTCTACAACCTTCTATAAGGCTTCTATAACGGTAGCTACCCAATGTCCTAGAGTCTAGGAGACTTCAGACTTGCAGGATCAAGTCTAGAGCCTAAGGGTTTAGGGTTTAGGCCTAAGGGCCTGGCTCAAGAAGTGCTCAGTGGGCAAAGCCTGCTGATCCTAAGTGTAGATCAGTCGCGGGTCACGAATCACGCTAAGCAACCTGAACCTCAAAACCTTTAGAAGCCCTATATATATAAACTTAATTCGCCCCTATAGCGCCTATACCCCGAATCTCCAAGTTTTGCCCAGCTGCCCGAGGAGGGGGTTCATGGGAGCCCAGTTGCTGACCCAGAGCCCCAGCAGAGTTCCCAGCCGGACCAGGGCAATCAGGGCGCCGCTTGGGCCCCTAACCTTATAGGGTTTAGGGTTTATGGGGGATTAGGGTTTAGGGTTTACGGTTTGATTTTTAAGGTTTAGGAATTGGGGATTAGGGTTTAGGGTTTATGGCTTTATTTTAAGGTTTAGGAATTGGGGATTAGGGTTTAGGGTTTATGATCTTATGTTTATAGTTTAGGAATGGGGGATTATAGTGTTTCGGGCTAAGCTCCCTTACCTTCCCAAAGCGTCCAAGTACTAGTATTAGTATATGCCCTAAACCCTAAACCCTAAATCCCTACACCCTAAGCCCTGGCCCGTATATCGCTTTGGAAGCGGGGACTAGGGTTTTTGAGGGCTTAAGCTCCCTTACCTCAAGTGTGTCCAGCTTGGTATGAAGGGACATTCGGGTTGACCTTTCGACTATAGCAATGTCGCGGAAAATGCCCAAGCAGCTAAAACGTGCCAAAAACCTATGTTTAGATGTCATGAGGGTTTGACTTTTCGCAACCACCCGACAAGAAGGGCTTTGATTTGGTTCAAGGAGATTTGAATACCCGCGCCCCCCTCCGATGAAAGCGACTTACAGCCGACTTCCCATCAAGTCACAGCGATGGCCAGCGCAGGGCTCCGACTGAGCTTGGCCAAGGGCCACTGGAAGACGGCCGGGCCCAGGAAGGACAGAAAAGTCAGAGGTAGAAAGAAGACCCACCACTTCTGCAGCATCATCGTGCCGAAGACAAATACGACATTGCTGCAGACTTCCAGGAGCCGGTAGAACTTCAGCATGGCTCCCTGGACTTTCGGCTGAAGCGCTTTGGCCACAATTAGCCGGGCTCCTTGGCGGAAGTCTTCCATAGCCATAGAGTGGGCGTCATGGAGAGGGCGGTACACTGCCCGATGCCACAGTGACTTGTCGATACCACCCTGGGCCGCCACGAGAGCAACCGCTCCAAGCATGCCGCCGCAAAGCGCGGCGTAGGTCTCCCAGCACTGGGCGCTCTGCATGGCCAGGCTTGAGACGCTCATCTGCGCCTGCCACCAGCCACGGAGAGTCTCATTGCTGATTTCCGTCCAGAGCGGGGCGCCGGTGTGGGGGTCTAAGGCCCAGGGATCATGGAGAGGATGTGCCCTAAGGAGAGCATGGACCACCTCTGGATGGTCGAAAGAAACCGCCAGGCTTAGTGAAGTCCACCCACTTGGGCTCTGGGCCTCCATTTTGGCACCATGCTCCAAAAGGGTCTCGACCACCTCAAACAACTTTTCGGGTTGAGGCTTAGGCTTGTGGTTCAGTCCTTTACTACGTTTGGGAAGTGCAGACTTTAAGTAGGCTAGATGTGCTAAAACATGCTGAGCGCAACCAGATTCGAATGATCATACAACCCATGTGCTGGTGGCAAAATTTCCTTGTTGTGAGCACCCAATGGTAGTAAGAACCCCCTAATTCATAAACACCGGAATAAACTCTAGTTATGCGAAATGTTGCAACAACAACACTCAAGACACAAAGGTTCCAAAGCTATCCCCAAAGGCCGCCTTCCAAGCAGTCTTGCTCGAGACTTCCTGACTCCAGCGAAGGTCCAAAGGCTAGGTGCAGTGTACACGTGAAGACTCGAAACGAAAGCTTCGGAAACTGTTGGAACCATTCCAAGTACTTACCCTAGAGCTCCAAGTATACAAATAGTACCTACTTTGGGGTCTAAAGTCTAAAGTCTGTAAATAGCACCTACTTTGGGCTATTCGGAGCCCCAGGGTTAAGACACCCCTACAAAATACCCCTTTTTACGTCGAATTCTGCCTGCGGATGTCCGAATCTGGCGGCCCACATCAGTGCTGTGAAGCCATCGTCGTCCTCTTGCTCCATCGGGGCCTCAGTTCGGCCATATTTCAGCAGCCCAATATAAACCGACTTCATAGGGCACAATAAGCACTGCCATAAGATTTACTTAGGGGTTAAGATTGAATACGAAACGTCCATAGGAACGGGGATAGCCTTTGAGAAGCCTGTTTTGGAGTTTAGTTTGCGATCTACGGGATTCGCGGTTAAGGGTGTTTAGGTTTCGGAATTCGGGTTAGCTGTAAGGCTTAGCAGGCCGCTGTACCGAAAGGGGAACCATGTGACCTAAGGAAGTAGTTGGGTATTGATAGGGGCCTGCACAATTAGCAGAAGGCTCTCCGGTTGAATTTTCTAGACTTCTTCTGGGACTGTCAAGGAATACTGAGACGACCATACTTACTCACTTTCTCATGGGGATAATTTTGGAGAACTCATTTCAAACGTGAACCAACCCTTATAAGCCCTAAAGCCCTTAACCCTAAACCGGCCCTATATAGCTAACTAAAGCGCCCAATCCGCAACCCCTATGCTGATGTGGGCCCGAGGATCCCGATGCTCCACGAGCGCCTGAACCGCCTCCACATAGCCGTGCTTGGCAGCGTACATCAAGGGTGTCGCCTTCAAGGGCTACAGGGTCTAGTCCGGCAGGCGCTCAAGAACGACATGGGGTACGGATGAGGTGGAACGAGAAAGATCTCCCTGCGCCTGGTAGCTTACAGTCACCCCCTGAAACCACCCCAAGGATCCTAACGTCCCTTCTGGATCCTCAGGACTATAGGTTTGTTTGGAGAAGGCCTCAAACTGCACAGACCGCACAAGCATGTCTGCAGCCTCAGGTTTACCCTAACATTACCGCAATCGGGTGAAGACAGTAGCCATAAATAAACGTACTAGCCGTAGTGTAGAGTACCTCCAATTATTCGGGCACCTAAATTCTGAGCCCCGGAAAGAGAAAGTCAGAAGACAACTCAAGGCTTCATCAGGACCACTGCGTCACTGCGTCCGATGGCTTGCGCTTGCGAAATGTGCTTGAAAAATGTGCTTGAACGATGAAGGTGTCAGGCCATTATAAGCGCCTGCCACGGCTGAAAAGAACTCTTTGGGGCAGAATTAGGAAGCCTTAATCAGTAGAATGGACCTTGGGGACACATTATAGGGTCACTAAAATTGCAATAAAGGGCCCGCAACAAGTATGATTGTAACTACATATATACATATATACATATAAGCGTTTGTCAAGACTTCTTATATATTCTTGGCTTAACCATGGATTACCTGCCCTTTACTTCCCTTTGACTGCCCCTTTACTGCCCTTTACCCGCCCTTCACGAGCCTTTACCTGTGTCCTTTACTGCCCTGCCCCTTACTGCCCTGTACTGCCCTTTATTGCCTCGAACTGCCCTTTACTGCCCTTTGCTGCCCTTTACTGCTTTTTGCTGTGTTTTACCTGCCCTTCACTGCCTGTGTACTGATATATATATATATATATCTGTATCTATCTATCTATCTATCTATCTATCTATCTGTGTGTGTATGTGTATATATATATATATGTATATGTATATGTATATGTATATGTATATGTTTTTGTATATGTATATGTATGTGTATACATACATGCATACCTACCTACCTACCTATCTACCTACCTACCTACCTACCTACGTACATACATACATACATACATACATACATACATATCTATATATATATATATATATACATATGTATGTATGTATGCATGGATGGATGGATGGATGGATGGGTGGATGGGGATGGATGGATGGATGTATGTATAACGCATTATGTATATTTATATTTAGAAGGAAATACGTAAATACGTAATCAGATGTGTGTGTGTCTATATATATATATATACACAACATGCAAAAACCCTCAAAATAGTGGGTTGCCAAAACGCAGGCCCCACAGCCTCCTCTTCTGTATGTATGTATATATATATATATGTATATATATGTAACTACTCATTAATCAAAAAGGGGGTCCTCCAGTTTGAGTACCGAGCCTCACCCTCGGAGCCCAGAGCATGCCACACGGTGAACTCGGCGGCAGTGACGGACCAGAGCCGAAGGGACATTTCGCTGGCGAGTTTAGGGTTTAGATTGAGGGTCTAGGGGTTATAACCCCAACCCTAAACCCTTTGGGGTTTAGGGTTTCAGACTCTTGGTTTAGGGGTTTGGGCATTACGGTTTCTATAGGGCTCGACTCATACTTTTAAGTTCGAGGGGCGCTTGTAAGGGCTGTCGGGTTTGCGCCGTGACTGCCGAGGGGGGAGGCTTGCAAGCCTTGAGCATGAGCAGCCGGGAAGAAACAAGGCCAGGAATCGGTCTTTGGTCTCCCACAGCACTTTACTTTCAGCAGATTCGCTTAGGCCTTAACAAAACCCTATTAGAATTGGGGTTTTGGGATATAAATATATATATATATAATATAACATTATGTATATATATATATACATATAGATATAATATATAGATAGATAGATAGA